AGAAAAATCATAATTGATTAATCTAATATAGAATTTGAGAAAATCAAGGTGTTATGGTTATTTTTTCTTAAGATCTTAGATTCGAACAATTACTTACATTATTAATAATTAAGAAAAATTATAAGTAAATATTATCTTATAATCACTCTAAACTATTCGATTAGTTATAGATCAATGTTAAAAAAATAATCGATAATAATAATTTTTATAATTTTCAATTTTATTCTATGAGTTCAATTAAATAATTTTTAAAATTTTTACGACCATAAATGCATCTCACTTAATAGCTAGTCGAGGAAGCCAATTCCAAGTCGTCCTCGTTTCATAACCAAGGAATGCATGCGGTTTGTGGTAGCCCACGTGCGCGGATAATCTCTGGTGTCCTTTTGAATCAATTTTATAGGAAAATCCTCAACTGGCTAAAAACTAAATTAAAATTTTTCTTATTCAATTAGGTTATAGTACACCACCTAGACCTTAAACCCTAAATTCTAAATCACAATAATAATTACATTTGAATCTCAAACTCCCTAATCAAAGACTTCCATCATCACAAAACATAAATATACTAAAGTTCCGGTTTGTCTAAATTATGCATTGCATAAGTTATGATGGTGGATCTAAAAATAAAAAAATTCGATCCAAAATTTTAATACCCCTCTTTAAAAATTATTAGGTATGAAAATTGCCTTATTTTGTTATCCTTCCCCTAATACATTAAACTCATGAGTTAATTGTATCACATGTCCTCAAACTATAACCCTAATTTTAAATTGGTCCCTAAACTTTTAAACATTTCAATTTCATCTAAACCATGACTATCAAATTAATTAATCCTCAAACTTTTTAACATTTCAATTTCATCCCCAAACTATGGTCTTTATTCTAAACTGATCCCCGAACTTTTTGAACATTCCAATTTCATTCCAAACTATAGTATACACTAATCACATCTCTTGTTAACAAAATCGTTAGGCCAAGTTATATTATTATATGTTTGAAAGAAAAAAAAATTTAGGTTAAATTATGGTCGAAACTAATTACATATTTAAATGAATTTAAGGATGAAATCGGAATATTAAAAAATTTAAGGACCAATTTAGAAAGAGTTATAGTTTAGGGATGAAATCAAAATAATCAAAAATTTAAGGACTAATTTATAATTAGAATCATAGTTTAGAAATGAAATTTAAATATTCTAAACTGTATTTTATAATTTTTTGAAAATAATAGGAATACACTTGCTCTCCGAACTTAGTACATCCACCATTGAAAGTAGTGAAAACAACATAAAATTAAAATTGTCTCATCAGAGCTAAGTAGTGAGATAGTTACTTTACAAATTCATTCAAATTGTATATCCCTTTCACTAAAATAATTTGAATTTGATCTAAAAGGAAAAACTTCCTAAGTTTGATTCATCCAAAATATTACATGTTTATATTATATTATTTTTTACAAGATTAAATAAAATATATATTATAAAAGTACAAACCTTGGGGAGTTTTCATAATCTTAGTTTATGTTTCTTCCCCATGTGATATAATCTATAAGACTATTAAAAAGAAGCATCTCTCTAGATATCTAGAATCTCATTCATACGTAGGTTTGTATAGATCGTTATATAAATATATATGCAGAGAAGCATTGAATTTATTAGCTAAATAGCAATGGTTTCCACTCTAGGAGCTGGAGAAGGTCACATCCATGCACGTCACTTCAAATGACTGAATTTGATTTTCTTTGCAGCTGATATAATAAATGCCTAACAAAACTGAGCTGCCTACGTATAAAATAGGTTGTGAATATACGAAAAAGTAAAAGGAGATTACTTACTGCTCATCAATCGTATCAATAACAACCATACTTAGTTTCTATTCTCATTTTGTTAACATCAAACAAACTGCAAACTCGTAGTAAAAAGTAGCAGAGATAATTAAGATAAAAATGAGGTAAATGAAAGTTTTGGTTTAAAGGGTTGTCCTCCAACTGGATAGAGTGGAACATTGGAGACATACATGGCTTTAAATCAAGGGCTTGCTGGTGGTGGGAAGAACTGCGTGCCAGCATTGAAAGGGTCAAGCGTACTTGCGTCAGGATTGACTTGCTGAGAGCTTTCACCACCACGGGTTTCGGGGCCTTGATCGTAAAGAATTCCCTTGAATACATGCCCGGCGATGTTCACAGCCGTTTGATAAGCGTACTGATTCTCATCTACACCGTCCACAGCGTTTACTTTTACACAGCGGAAGTCTGCTGGAGAGCTCACTTGTGGAGGGAATTGAAACAGTTCCAACCCTAATTTTCAAAGCTCCAACGACATTAGAAACAACAACTAAAGAATAAAGTACAGAAAAGGTAAAGGAGCTAGCACCTTGATTATCTCCTTGAAACTGTTGTTGATGTTCATTTCGCCGCTGTTGTTGTTGCTTCTCTCGCCTTGTACCAGCAGGAATCCAAGTACTCTTAACGTGAGTTTGGCACTGAAACCCTCGGCTTCTGCAACAAGTCCTGCATCTCAAATGGGGACAGTCTTTCTTGGCTTGGTTTCCACAATCTTGGCAGCTGATGACTCCTTGTCTCATATCAGTAAACCCTACTGCTGCTCTTGAAGACGCCTCGTCGGAGAGGTTAAAGCCGCTAGGTCTTCGACTCACGTCTTGGTGTTGGTAAGAGGCATACTGTGGCCATATCTCAAACCCTTTGTTGCACATCTCCTCGCTTCTGTACAGATTCAGGTTCTCCTCTTTGTCTTCTCCTTCTCGTCCACCTAGATAGAAGAAGCCTGCCATTTGACACACTCAGACCCACCTCAATTTGAACCAAAATTCCATAACAGAAATACCTATTTGGCAGTGAGGGATTTAAATAGCGGTCAGATCAAGGGATAGCGGTAGGTAATGTTTGAAATCCTTGTTGTTGAAAATAGTGGAATAAAGTATAATCACATCAATAACAGTGGATTGAAGTAATAATAAGCTGTTATTGTTCAATTACAGTAAAATTAAAAAAAATCCAACAGTTATTACGTCAATTAAAATTATTATGTTTTACCTTAAGTTGTATAATTTTTTTTAAATCACAACCCTAAACCATACAATAACTACACTAATATCTGATATATCCATAATCACGTACGATCACATCCGCATTTTAAATCCGTGTCAACACCCCTACCACACAATGGGTATAACACTATAGCTCAAAAGGTGAAAAGGAAAGGCCCAGATTTGAAAGGGGAGGAGGAAAGGAAAAGCAACGGGTAAAGTTCCAAAGAATAAACATTTTATTAAACATGCCATTAAAATTAGTTATTTCATTCTTAGTTCAACTCCAAACAAAATATTCAATTTGTGAAACCGTAAAAGCTATAAATATATTAGTTTTATTAAATAATAACTGATATTCTCTTAACAGAAATATTAAACTTTATTAAAAATTTGGCCTTATTTATTTTCTTTCACTAGTACATGAACTGAATTGGTCCAATTAATAATAGACAAATTAGTTTGAACCAGCTTCTATAACAAAGGAACTAATTTCAACAAATTTCTATAATAAAGAGATTAAATTGATTTATTTATAAAAAAAGGATTAAATTGATATATTTGTTTATAATATGGGGACTTGGTATGTATTTCCGCCGTAAAGAGACTTTGGTAGCAGAGGATTGATTTCTTTTAAATGAAGCTTTGAGTAAAAATAACTCCATTTGATGAGGGAAACAATATTCAATCTGAGGGTAGATGAAGGAGATCAAAAACAAAGAAGATGAATAGTTTTAGTTATATTCATGGGCGTCGAGACATCATTCTCTAGTGAAACATACACCAAATTTAAAATCAGGAGACCTGAATAGTGTTGTTGAAAAATTTTAAAGTTCAACGACAATTGACGACAACGGTAAATGCAATTATCCATAATACTTTCTGGGATTTAGAAATTTGAGAATAGATAAAAATGAAAAATTTCGTATAAGAAGAGAGAGTAGAAAGAAAAATGAGAATTAAAAAAATAATATGGTCTTTTAGATTAAAATATTTCTATTTTGGTCGAATTAATTTTATCCTAAATTTGACCTTAATCTAAATTCAAATATTACTCCCTTAAAATTTATACAACACTAAATCAAATTAAATTAAAATCTATTAAATCTGAATCTTATATTAATCCCTATATATTACCGATAAAAATAAAGCCGAAACAGTTTTTCTAGGCATTGATGCGTGACTGGAATCTTGATTAATTGGAATATAAATATGGCTTTTGAATGTACGACCTTAAGGGAAAAGAAGGTTAATGTCTAAAGAACGATAATCTAATTTAATTTAAGGTTAAAAAAATGTAATAAAAAAATATTAAAAATAAAATTTAATATTTTCAGTTAAACGTAATATAAAGTGTTAATTTTTTTAATGTTTGTATAACTTAAAATGTTAATTTTTAATATTTTTGATTGACAACCGAAAATGTTAACTTCTTCGTAAATTTTCAACTCAACCAAAAATATTAACTAATTAACATTTTAAATTATGCTCAACCGAAAATATTAAATTTTTTTAATCATATTTTTATTAATTTTAAATTAAACGGTTGTGCAACATATCTATCAGAAAGAATTTTTAAATTGAGTGACAATAAGTATGTCGCTGTCATTGGCTTTGGCTCTCGAGCCCTGCGCTTGCTTTCTACTGTCCAGGTTGACTCTCTATCAACACACATTATGAAGCCAATGGTTGATGGAGCTCTCCAACAGTCATCAAGACTGTAGAATTATGCATTCAAACCGGTATTTTCAGATTGGCAAAAAAGCCTTTCATCACTGAAATTTCGTAAACCTTAGCCGTCCATTTAGCAAAAGATTCCATAACTGATCTCTCATTGCTCATCAATTAACTTTCCGCCCAATCTTTATTGCACAAAACATTGAACCAAATGACCTAGGGACACCTATATACCTCGCACATGGTATAGAATGTTATAATAGTTTCACCACATCTCTATGGGTTTTCAACCATTGTTTGACCAATTTCTTTCTAAAGGGAACCAATGCAAATTTAGGATAATATTACACTTAGAAACAAAAAATAGAGTGAAAGGAGGTCGGTTCAAGTTTATTTAACTAAATTGTATCCTAAAGTCGTCGTTTAGTTACGACGGTTAACCTTAGAGTTATTGTTCTTTTAGATCGATTTTGATCTTCTTTTAGTTATAGAGAACTCTAGACTAAAATAAAAAGAAATGAAAAAATGGATTAAAATATTACAAATTTGTTACGAATTTTATTCAAAAGGAAGAAAATACACGTGATACCAGCCAGGTTGAGTGACGATATACGTGTTAGTGCTTTGTCTTCAATAACTTATTGAATGCATGTTCAAAAAGGTATATTTAAACATTTATAAAAATCAATATCTAAACAATATAACATTCAAGGAATCTCAACCAAAGTTATTGATTTTGAGCTATCAAAAACAAATCATGAACTTTAATAAGACCCGTGTCAATACAATAGTTAAAAGAACTTTTTAATACTCAAATCTTGAGTATTTCGTAAGGCAACAACTAATAGAGAAATATGGTATCCAATATTTCTTTTAACTATCGTAACAATGTAAGTCTAAATTAAGTTCGTTACTTATCTTTAATTGCTCAAAATCAATAATTTTATTGAATCTCACATTGGCTAATGTTAAAATAGTACTTGAAGTAAGCCACTCCCGTATCTGAGTGCTCAGCGCAATCATATTCTTGGGCTCCCACTTTAGCACATACTTGCATATTTGGAACAGTACTAATAAGACTAATTTGCTATCAAGTGAGGGGGGAGTAAGCTTCAAGAAAATTGAAGGCTACATAGCATGGTAGGCTAGAAAATTATCAACAAATGAAAAAGAAAAAAGTCTAATATGGAACAAATTTAAATTCCATGAACGTAACAAAATTCATTTCCATTGCCCTTATGGATAAAACTTTTACATCTCAGGGAAGAAAACAGAAGTACCCGATTAAGTTCGAAAAGAAAAGGATTACACCACCAAAATGTAGAAAGTTTGAAAGCCGAAAAAGTTGTTGATTACAATGAAACTCGAAACAAGCTGAACGTTGAAGCTTGAGGGCAGAAAGGAAAGGAAATTAAACACAAAAGTGCAGGAAAGCAATAGTCAACCTTTGTTTAATTAGCCTCTTACCTCTCCAAGTTATCATTATAATTTTCCCTAGGTCTAAAGAAATCTTCTTCCTCAAATAAAATTCCAGAAACCAATATTCCAACTGCCAGCCGCTGAAAAATTACAGTTGTTTAAAACCATCAAGTAAATCTTGAAATGAACCATGAAGAACCAACAATCAGTAATTCATAATGTAGCCTATTCTAGACAACTAGAAAACCAAAAGATTTAAATAAATTAATGAAAACTCACGCCTTGGTTATGACTTTTCCCAGTTTGTATGAATTCAAATTCATCAAGTCCTTCAGTTCCTTTAGGCATTGCACTGGCTGTAAGACCAACTCCAGCAGCTGGAATGCATAGACAACAAGGTAGTGATGTTGAAATTTTGTGAATTTTGTGTAATAATTTTGGATAATTAATGTAATTGATTTAAATTGATCCGTTTAAATAATTTTTTTTTGTAAGTTATTCATTTATATATTATGCATATTATGTCTTCGAACTTAGAATTACATGTAAAACAATAAGTGAGTAGATATCGACTCATTAATTATCTAACAGTTAAGTTGAACTAATTATAAATTACATTATGAATTACATTATAAAACAACTTATATTAATCGGTAAACTACACAAGCTTGTAGTTCATAGAATTATTTCAAGCAAGTAATTTATGTTAGGACCATTATGTTGTCTAAAACTCGAAAAGGAGATAGTTTATCTTACCTATTAGAGAAGGTTGACTCCCAAGTATAAATACTGGCAACATATTTGAAGAGTAAAAGATATCATCCATGACATTGAATGATTAATGAAAACAGAACAGGTTATAGGTCATTCATCAAGGATAAATGATTATTTTGTGTAATAATCTTTTTCATCATATGATTTACAATGAAACATTTAGATAAAAGTGACCAAATCCAGTGAACGAATAAAATCCAAAGTGATCGGAGATATCCTATGAGGAATAATATATTTATGATAAGGTTGTTAGACGAAAACTACAAGTGAAACTTTCAGTAGTTTAATACGTGGGAGTTAAATCATGGTACTTTAGTGGAATAACTTAATGACTTAAATAATCATACAATTAATATACGAAAAGTTAAAATTTAATTACATAATATTTTAGCATACGCCCATTCGCTAGCTCAATATAACTTGTAGACCGTATATATGTTAAATTATGAATAGTTGGATAAAATGTGAAAGACAACTACATTACAGAAAATTACTTGAGTAATATTATTTTCTTAGTAGCGAAATAAATGATTTGAAAATTAATTTAATAACTTTGATTTATTTTTTTCCCCTTTTGGTTCCCCAAGACTTTGCCAAAAATAATCCAGATCAACCCGTGTCACACACCTGGTTTTGATGGATGAGTCTCCCAACGGGGATTTTCTACATACACAAAGCCTCGAGTTTGAAACATACTTAAGTAATATCAAGCTACTTACCACTTAAATCAATCCATTATCTTTTGGTTTAGTCTAAACTAGAATATTAAATTAATAAATTATTGCTTAATTTAAGGAGTTAAAAATTAAAACAGAAATTAAATAAATAGTATACATATGTAAAAGTATTTTATACATAAAATCATCATAACTTTAACAAAATTAAATTAGATTATGTAAAAGTATTTAATGATAAAAAATATTTTTATCATAATTGATTTATTTTAACTTTGGATTAAAATTAATTTAAATCTATTTTAATTATTGAGTATTTAATCTGAGCGTTTAAAGTTTGAGCTTAAAATTGTATCGAACAAGTAAAAAAACCCCCCAAAATATTGACCCAATACTAAAGCCACACGTGTTATCCTTAGTCCAAGTAACAGATGTTTGTGTTTTGATTGAATTATTACTCTAAGATTAAATCCAAATTCGTTATGTTTCTCTCTATAAATAAATATGGGATAAGATCTTATTACACAATGCAAAACTCTTTTAAGTTTATAGATTTAGGACCGTTTGATTAGTGAATGCCTTAAATTGATAGTAGAAAATGAAAAGATATTCACTGGAAAAAAGAAAAAAAAAGAGTCAATCTCAATCATCTATTTTTACTAATCCAACAATCCTGACTCTATGTATAACTAAAGAATTTTACATTATGTAAATGAACCCTAACCCAATAAATATATTTGATTATTTGTTATTCACACTATAAAACCTCACAAGAATCTGACAAATATATATGGTAAAATTAGATAGAAGTCAAAAATTCCTAAAGAATTATTCACCTTTTTTGTGCTCGTGATTTTTTGTTATGAGGTCACACTCCTACCATTTTTGGATTTGAGAATAACAGACAAGATCATTAAGTTGAAAACGTAACACTTAAAGAAATAATTCAAAGTCAATCAAAATATTATAAGGTCTCTTCAAGGATAGTTCTACGTCAACTTCGCATCTACGTTAATAATATTCTTTTGAATAATTCCTACTTAGGGGAGGGGAAGGAGAATTTTAGTCCTAATGCATATTAATCCCACAACTTATGAGAGAGGAGAAATGTCAACTGAAATCTTTTAATCACATGCTCTAGAGATTGTTGACTCTACGTCAATAAATTTAAAATACCGTAGCATCTCGAGCTAGTTTTAACACAACCACATCCTAAGATATTTAAGGGAGAACGAATACATGTACAAGTTGTTTGGGTTACCACAATGTAATTCAAGTGGCTTATTGAATGTTGGCCTTATTGTGTTAATTGTTATACATTTAAGATTGACTTAATTAGTAACTCATCATAGAACTCTACTAAGTTAAATTAATGGTCAAAAAGAAATAATTTTTACTTGCGCATAAAAAGAGATGTTCGAAAGCCAAGCTATCTTGACTCGACATTCTGCTATATCCAATTTGATGAATTGCAAGCAAAAATTTGAGATCCAAATAAAGACCATATGCTTATGAAATTTTTCGTTGATACTAGAGAAAATAGAATTGAGGTAAACCACAACACTCAGATCAAGATGATCTTTAAATCTTTACCTAAAGAGTTTGTGAGCTTTAGGGCAGCATGCAAATTAGGAAAAAGGAGTTAAATCTTACACAACTTAAGAAGGAACTACAATCTTATGAGTTGATGTTGAATGATGGACATTCTATTCAGAGAAAAAAGTAACCTAATTTGTCAGTTGCTTCATCTTTTAGAAAGAAAAAGAAACAAGACACAGGAAAAAAGGTTACCCTGACTTTTGTTCAACCCAAAGTGAACAAAAAGATAGCGAAGAAATCCAATAACACATTAACGAACAAAGGTAATGAGATCTTTACCTTTGGCATCTTAGACTTGAACATATGACCGATAAAGAATCAATAGGCTTGTGAAAGATGGACCTTTAATTCACTTAATGAGATTAATCTTCCACAATATGAATCTCGCTTGAAAGATAACATGACCAAGCGATCTTTTAAATACCAAAAGCACAGATAATTCATGGAACTTATACACTGACGTATGTAGTCCTACGAGCGTCATTGCAGAGGAGATTATGAATACTAAATAATTTTCACAGATTATTATTCTAGATATGAATAATGTAAACCTAATGCACCCCGTAAGAAATGAAGCTTTTGATAAATCTCAAGAGTTTGTACGAAAATGAAGAATCAATTGAGTTTATCTATTAAAACACTTCACTCGGATCGATATGAGAAATATTTATCGAATGAGTTTCGATGATACCTCATAGAGAAAAAAGATCCTATCCAGCTAACTGCACCAGAAAATCTACAACAAAACGATGCAGCAGAGAAGAAATTTAACTGGTTCGACCAATGATAAATTATTCAAAATTGTCGTATTTTGGATCATTTGGTACAAACAGTTAGTTGCATTTGAATGACGTACCAACTAAGTTTGTATATAGAACTCAATTTGAGATGTGAGATGCCATAAACCCCAACCCAATTCATCTTAGGATATGAGAATGTCCGGCATACATAATGGACAAAGATGCTAAGAAATGGACTTAGGACAAAAGTGTGCACGTTCGTAGACACCGTAAAGGAACGAAAGGGGGATTATTTTATAACTCTCCTACTTATACAGCATTTTTGGTGGGAAGCTACATGAATAACTTCAAACCTCGAAATAAAGTATTACTAAAGGAGTTAATAAGAAATTAAACAATTCCACGAGTTTCTATCTTGGATGTCACTCCAAGTGAAACACCTACAAACAATCAACTATGGAACCTTAACGTAATGGGAGAGTTTTCAGGAAACCGAATTTCATGTATGATGGTAAGGTTCACCAAACTGAAATGTTGTACAGAAAGAGGGTGATTCACCCACATACAAAGATGTTATACAACATGTTGATTCCAAGCTCTAGAACAAAGCTATGGATGCTAAAATGAAAGAAAACTATGAGATTATTCGAGTTTTCTTGTATTTATGATTTTTAATTAGGAACTCACGCTCCTAACATCCTTGAGTCGTAAAATAACAGAGAAGATCATTATGTTGAAAGCACAACATTTCAAGCGGTAATTTGAATCAACCAAAGCATCCGAAACACTCCCTAAGTATAGCCCTACATTAATTTTGCATCTCCTTGGAGTATCAGATATCAAATTACTGTTTACATGATTAAGGTAGACTTTATTGTATTAGATATCACAACTGATCCGATTTCTAAAAACAAATAAACTTCTGTTGCACTATTTTTTTCAGTTAAACCTTCTGAACCAACTAGTGGCTCCAACAAAGTCATTACTTCAGTTAAAAAGAAAGAAGAAGGACCAAATGGGAAACATTGAAGTTGGATAAGAATCATCATAACTAAATTTGCACTCTTTGCAGCAAGCATGTCTTACTCCACATCCTTTAATTGTCAAGTTCCTATATTTTGCACTTAAAAGTTCTTTAAACTGCAAAATGACGATTGATAGTTTTTAGTTGTTTACTCTGCTTATTATCGTGGTAAGTGAAGTTTCCTATGATATATAGGTTTGGGTTATTAACAATTCTATTAGAATGTTAAGAACATTTTGTTTTACAATTGTACTTCAGTACTGTTGAAGGCTTAGAGCACAATCTAGTGCTTATAGATAACCTAATAGCCAGCATATGTGATTCAGTTAAACCATGATCCGGTAGATCTATAAAACTCAAGAAATAGCACCAAACTTAAAAGATCAAGTATAATGCCCCATTGATTAATACCTCCAAATGATGCAGCAACAGCAACCGAAGCGGCAATTGATCCCGTAGCAGTAGCGGCTACAGCAATTCCACCTACTCCAACTGCAGGAACAAGGCTGCCTATTGTAGGAGCAAGGGCACCTAATTCATGTCCAATAGCTGGTGCAACTAGGCCTGTTATGAGATTATTCAACGTTCAATACATAACTTTGCTTATGCCTTTTGAGAAAGAAAGAAAAAAAAAAGCACTTGAGGGCAATATATATATATATCTGCTGCTACGTACAAAGTGATGAATTTCATACCACCGGTAAGGGCTATCAAGGATCCTCCTGTTATAGCAGTAGCACTAATCATGCCTGCCAGTTTCAAATTATCGTTCTTACTCTTTCCAACTTCCTCTGCATGTTCCTTATTCAAACCCATGAAAGAGCAAACAACCATTATCCCCATAGCTTCCTAGAAAATAAAATTTCCTTAAAAATGGACAGAAAGGTTCAATTGTAGCAAACTAGTTATACTGCTAACATGATTTGTGCTGTTAAAAACCAAATGGCATTCACAATTGATAGCTAAAACCCAAAAGGGTATTTACAAAATAATGAGTAGTTTCAGCACACAAATCATTTTTATCCATTTGACATTGAGCCAAGTAGCTAGTAAACGCAGTGCCACATGGTGCCGAGCATCATAGCCCTTTGGTCCGTCATTGCTAACATCATCAGCAACACAAGATGAAAGAAGCTCATAAAGAGCAGCTAACTTCCTCTCCTCTGAAAGAAAATTTCCCTCTTCAATTGGTTTCTGAGAGAATCTGCTTCCCGATCCATCCACATCTTCATTATTGGATATATTGAGAGAAGTTGTAGCAGCTGTGTCGAGATAACCGCACCTCTCACGGCACTTAGTTCATAATCACAACTCCTATCACTATCCTCGGAAACAACGAGACAACTTTCTATCCCAAGAATTGTAGCATCCACAACCTTAAGTAAAGCAAGTTCCTTTTCTTGGACTTCTGAAGAAACCCCATCATTTTTCTCTGACAGTAATGTCAAAAACTGTGTCATAATCAAAACCATGTGCATCGAAAAAGGAAACACAAAGATCATCAAGGAAATCAAAAGGGAACATACTGATCCAACGTGGTGCCTAGCTTGAGTAGACACTCCAGCAGTTTCTTTGACCCTCCACTCCCATGTACCTAGGCCGTTCAAAATTTGTTCCAAACAAAGAAAATATAGAAAGACAAAAACCATGGACCCAAAGCTGGGGATTATACATATACATACCTGAAAACAGGCAAAAGTCAACCGGACTTCTTATGGACCCAAAGCTGTGGGAAATCGGAGACGGAAACGGTGTCATTTTTTCTTGCACCTTCGCCAATGGGCTCTTCATTCAGAGAGAGGAGAGGATTGATCGATTGATTTTGATGAATCTGAGAATGGTGAAGAGCCAAAGCGAACAGAGCAGAGGCAGCGTATTTCTTTGTTGGTGAGAGTATCGAATCCGTCTCTATAAATATCGTTGATAAATTAGCATTACAGTTATAGAATAGAGAAAAGGGACAATGACGAAGATCAACGAAATTTGGTAAAAAAAAAACAATCACAAAAGTCGAAGGTATTGCCTGACTTTTTCAAAAGCGCGCAACGATTTCCCGGGGACAAATGAAACGGCTAATGCTTGTTTAGGTCAATAATAATGGACCGGGCCAATATTAATTATTGACTCGAGGCGGCCCATTTCAACTCTGTTAGCCGAGACATACGTTTCTTTCTTACATTGGCCTGTTTAAGAATAACCATGGATTCGATTGCATTCATATAATTTTACAATCACAGAGACCGAATTCGCATTTACTTTTGGATTTAGATTAAGATATTGAAATCCATTATCTGTTTTACTTTTTATGTATTTTTATGTTAAACCTTTTTAAACTTACTAACATATTACTCAAAGTCTAACCATTGTTAATCTAAAAAAATCAATTAAATAGAACATATTGAATGACATCCGCGGCTAAAAGGAGTGTTGTTCTTTTTTTGAAATCCTGAATTCGAACAATTACGTATACAAAATATATATGTATTATCAATGGTTAAGAAAGATTATGAACATATATTACTTCCGTTCAAGAAAAATAAATTAAATAAATAACAGATTGACCGATTTGTCTGAAAGAAAAGGTGCTAAATGCAAACGCAATTTATATTTTAATCCAATTTTCTGCATAGGTATAAGTAAGACATTTCCATCTGAAAAATAACAAAGATGCCCCACATTTGCTTTCCTCAATGGAGGCTTTACTCTTCAAGACCCACATTTTCAAACAGCATGGATCATCTTCCACAGACGTAAGCTATCTACAAAGAATAAAAGATTAAAAAAAAAATTAAACCCAACACTTAGTTTGGTTGATGCACGTAGTAATCTCGAAGACGAACCATTCAACTCTTCCCCTATCTGTATGCCGTGTGACCTCTTTTGTACCGTGCAAAACAAGTCTTCAACTAGATATGACCAATTTGTAACCGAATGAATCCTAAAAATCATTGGTCAGTAAACTACATGGTAATAACGGCCTGAATCTTCAGAAACACCAAGTTCCATAGAGAAGAGTACCAGTGTAAATCTCTATTCTACCTTTATGTTTGATGGGGACCAAAAACCATCATTTTACATCTCTATTGCTTATAAAACCTTCAAAAGTCATGGAAGGGAAAAGTAGCATGTAATGTATCCGAGCTTCAGCTATATCATCCAACCCGCTGTGGTCACACAATAATTTCTAGGGACTAAACATTTAACAGGCGTAAGAGACAATTACACGTACCTCCCATCATCCATTGGGCAGCCGCAACACTTTGCCAATCTGGAATTCCAAAACGAGGTGTTAGCAATGAATCAATAACTGAGAAATGAAAAGTATACTCCAGTGGTTTCCTGGTAAATAGAATGAAACAGCCAGCTAGTAGTATTGCATAATGCATAGTGCATCCCTCGTAGCTTACCCAGCAGATGATATACAGTATTAACAATGCCAGTGCTCTCTTCAAAACCATCTATACTACCCATACCGACAGACAAGAAACTCACCTAATAATTTCAATGTAAATTTCAGTAGGAAATAGCTCAAAGTCTTCCACCTTTGGAATGAAGATATGTCATGTATACTGATGCCATGCAGTTCAACCCCAACCCCCAACAAAAACAAATATACAGACGCACACTAAAACCACTACAAATATGTAGATATTGCCCGAGGTCCATTCCATGCAAGTAAATCAATCATTCCTTCAATAAAGATTTGAAGAAAGAAATTGAAGTTAGAAATTGATGCTCAATTAAAAAAATCAGGATAATGTTGCAGTATTTCCAGGTAGACAATTTCTGTATGCTTGTCATCACTAAAAGAATACTAAGCTGTACACATCAAAAACAAGAAAAGACAAGGCGTATCTCATCTGAGTGGGAATCCAAGAATAAAATTTTGGATCTTGACTACCACCCTTTTAAGTGTGCCTTTGTGCCAATAATACAAGGATCTAGATGTCATCTTCAATGCTAACCACTTGCCCAATCCAAACGAGATGGATAGCCATGACACTTTAATTGATATCATTCATAATAACAAAACCAATTCAACCTCCAAAAAGCTTCTACCATATTCCAGAACTGTTCTGATAAACTTTGCAATGATGATCCAACTTGGGCAACCTTTGATTTGTTGAGGGTCAATCAAGATTATAAAGCAGTAAACCATGTTCTTTTGTTCCATGAACACCTTCCAGTCGTGAACTGCAGATTGTATAACTCTTCCAGCATCACCATATTTTAAGGCAGTCAACTCGAGCAGCGAGAGGCTTTTAGGTCTTGCAGACAAAGCCAATAAAGCATAACAGTCAATCCTTAGCACCATCATGGCTTCATGATGGGCTTCGTTGCCATGTGCCTCTCAATTAATTTGTCTACAAAGGGACGAATCTGCATGTCAAAGGCATCCAGATTAAGCTTGATTGAGACACTAAATCAGTATACTATCATTAAGTATCCATTTTCAAAAGCTGCAGTAGTCCTTTTCAGAGTAAAAGGGAAAGCAAGAACTATTCAGTTAGTGATTTCGTAAAGAAGATTGTTAAAATGATTGTGACAAATAAAACTAATAATAAGAATCATAAATCAAGTAATGTACAAATGAAACCTAACAAGAACAATAATACCCTAGCCATATCATCTCATTAGCAATTACGAAGCCAATAGTGTGCATCAGAGAATCTTTAAAATTGAGGAGAAAAAAATGAAGATAAACAAAGTCTATATGTGGAATGGGTAAATAATATATCCTAATACAGGACATAATGCATATGCATACTTTATTTTTGCGCTTGAAATCAAGAAATTTAGGAACAGCCATGTTTTTCTCTGCATCTGTCGCCTGCTCCATTACCTGGTAAGATAACAGAAGCCTAAGATCAGACTGGAAGTAGAGGCAGAAAAGAAGTCGAGACCTAATGAGTGAAAAAAAAGAAATGGAACAGAGGAGAAGAGAAGAGGGACCTTTGTTGCAGTTTTCTTCATTATTGATTTGTACCCCTCCTTATCAATTTTTCTTGCCTTATAAAGGGGCATTAACAATGATGCAACATAATCAACAACAGCCTGTTTAATACGATCAGCTCCACGGGAATGATTTTCGAATCGTTCCTTGTTTACAGATACTTGGGAGATGGAGCTCTCATTAGCTCGTCCATCATGCTTCCAGGTTGGTTGCCTTGAACTAGTATTTGAATCTTCCTCATCCTTGAAATTTGTAGGGTCGAAGAAATCTGGATCAGCAGCTGCTGCTTGAGACTGCCATCTCTCAATGGCATGATAATCCTTAATCCCCCCACTACCAGCAGAATCAACCCATGCTTTTGTGAAGATACTACTGTCTGCAGCCAAACTTTCTCCATAATGCTCTCTGAGTTCCAAGTGGCTCTTCAGAGAAAGGCTATCTGCTGACATTCCAGAACTGTCAAGGTTAACACAAGCCACAGAGAAATCAACAGACCAGTCCCTAACTCTGCAGTTCCTAGAGTCTATTTCTGATATACAATCTTGTCTTCCTAAAACACCCCCAGGCCATTTTCCTTCATCCATTTGTGCATATTGCTCCCTTCTGGCAAATTTGTGAAAAGAAGGAATCTTAGGAAGCTGCAGCAACTTGTTGCAGTTGGCTTCTGTGGATGCAAGAGCCTGAGGGTACAATTGTTAATCTCCTTATGAACACAACTCCATGACAATAGTAGAAATGAAAGAAGGATTTTTTTTACTGAAGAAAAAACAATACATGAATGATATGATTGTAATGAAATGTTTGGCAACTCTTTGCATTTTCAAACTAATGCTCATTATTATCACAGGTTATCCAAATTGAGCAATCTAATGATAGCAACTGATCAAAAGTTAAAAAGAAGCATTCATTCCATTCTTTCACAAAGCAAAACCTTCACAAAACATTCTTAAAAGAGTATATGAGAAGGGATAAGCTCTATAAATATTTGGGTGATGAAGGGAAACAAGATAAAGGCAAACATCAAAAGGCACAAATAATGCCTTCTGCAATGTGGCATCCAAGTAACAGTTGTTTAAGGACAATGAGCAAATATAGATACGCCACTAGATATGGTAAAAGAAAACATACTTCTGCAGCTGCTTTTGCTGCTCGGGCAGCTGCTTCAGCAGCAAAGGCAGCTTGCTCTTCCTCTGACATCCCTGGTTGACAGCTTCCACCTCCATATCAATGATTTGCCATTTTCATTCATACTGAAAGGATACTGGTTTCCAGCAGAGAAAGTGTCCTGCAAGACTGCTTTATTCTCGGAAGCACCGTGTCGCGAGTGTAGAGGTGGCTTTCCTGAAGCTGGATTTTTAAGGGACTTTCTCTTTGAAGAAGCTTTTGCCTTACGGAAGACTTCAAGCCAAACATTAACCAGTGGCTTGCTATAGCACGAATGTCACGACTTGTATGCACACAAATCTTTTCCTTGACAGTTTTCCCTATACCTAAAAACAATTATTAATAAAAATGTCATCTTAGCCAATTTCATTCAACATACTACTTCATGGAAAAGCCAACATAGATTCACATACAAAACACTTCACATGTACCACGCAAGCACATTGCGGATGAAAATATACATGAGAGCACAACATAAACAAGTACCTGAGGAACGAACTGCCAGTAGATCAGTTGAAACGAGCACAAGAAGACGAACACAATGGCGCAACAATTGAGTCCCATCTTTCCCATTGAATCCTGTAAATTTCAATATGAACACAATAAACATCAAAGCCATTATTTAATGCCACTAAATCTAGGCATTACTAGAATAAATCCATAAGGACACAAGGATAGATAATAAATCGTGAAAAGAAATGATACCAGCATCCATGAGTTCAATGCAGTAAGCCTTCCTTTGTCCCAGCAAAGGATTTCAAGGATTCAACTGGAAGACCCAACAACTTTTTGGCCAGATGCAATCGTCCTGCAGTGGTTTTCACATTAAAGAACATGTCCCGTAGTAAGGCTTCCCTGCTCAAAACCCGAGCTCGATCCAAAGAGTTTTGTACAACACAATGGAAAGTTCAACCGCTTCAAGTCTTAATTATGTCCCTAACTTCATCCCTTCTGATTCTGATTGTCTCAGTGCAGCCTCCATTGCCTCTACTTCGGCGGTATAATCATTTCCAGTGGTAAATATGTCAATTAATCGCACGGCTTCCCTAAGTCCACTCAACATTGCACCACCAACTGTGTCAGGATGCTCCTTACAGGTAGCTTCTCCAGCAAAAAACAAGCAGTTCTCAACAGGCCTGCCAACTATCATAGTCCTCCAGATGCTCCAATGGCAACATAGGAGTAAGCACCATAGCTGAAAGGATCCCTGCCCCAATCAGTCACAACTGAGGCAATGGGATCAGGAACTGAAACCTCTCCAAAAGTTTACGGAGAATAATTACAGCATGGTTAACATGATCTGATGAGCTCATACTTTGACCATCAATAGCTGCCTTACCAGCCACTAAGGCTATAAGAACAGGAGCCCCAACAGTTTTCTGTACATTCCAAAACATAAAGCAACGGCCTCTACTATCTGTTTCCTCAGCAGTCACTCCAAAGTAATCCACAGAATCATCCCAAAACACTTCTGGGAATTCCAAAACAACTTTATTAAGTACTCCAAAACCAAGCCGTTGTATGGAAGATTGTTTCCATTGGGGCAATGGAGGAGAAAATTTTATGGCCCCTGCTTTCAAGCAACCAAGTGGCACGGTGATGAGCACAGCATCCCTGAAAACTCACTGCCATTTGATGTGGAAATTTTTACCTGCCTATGATAACTACTATCCATCCCAGTGTCCTCTGTGTTGAACGAAATTTGTAACTACATGGTTCAAGTGGACTAAAGCCTTCTCCAAGAGACTCAACCGCCTTACTGTAACCCCTTTAATCATACAATGGGCTCCTCCAAATCCACCATAAGCATCATCTTGATTCCAGTTGGGAAGAGACACTTCTTTAAGCGAAGCAGCACAGCCATACTCCAAGTGGGCATAGTGCCAATTCATAACCCTTCTCTCAAGGGGACTCAAAAGCTCCTCTTCAGAACATTTTTTTTCAAAAACGTTTCCAGAGACATTGTTTGCTTTGGAATTATAGAAAGAATTCTCTGAAGAACGTGATTCTTCTTCTTCAATATCTGCTCCTATTTCTTCCATACGATGCCTTTTAGGGCATATTCTAAACCATCCTCAAGAGACATAGTCATTGCTTTTTGACCTTTTGACCAACAAGAAACACCATGTCGTCAAGAAGACTATTGTATTCAGCTTCCAAAGCATCATCCAGATCAGCAGGAACCTTTGACCAGATACAATGTCATAAAGAGGACATGAACTATTCAACACAGTCATCTCTAACCCCAACTGTGCACAAATCAATGAGGAAGGATCTGGTCTTCTATTAGTTGATACAGCCTCAACTCCAGTAATAATGCTAGCCCCAAGATCCACAGGCACGGAAAGAGAGGAGCAATCAGTATAAACACGACCTCCTATCCTATCCCTAGCTCAAGTACAACCACAGAAAATCCCTGACGTTTTAAGTGGCGTGCAGCAGTCAATCCAGCAGGACCAGCTCCAACAACTATGATGTTCTTTCTGGCCTCAGAACCACCCTGC